CGTGTGTCTGTGTGTGATGCGTGTTTGTGCGCACGCGTGTGTGTATGTGTGTGTGTGTGTGTGTGTGTGTGTGTGTGTGTGTGTGTGTGTGCCGGGGAGGGGAGGGAGGACCCCTCCCCCACCAATCAATCAATCAATCAATCAATCAATCAATCAACCAATCAATCAATCAATCAATCAATCAACCAATCAATCAATCAATCAATCAATTGGTGGGCAATTCTGCTCACAGTCTGAATGAGCCCTATCATACGGGGGCCTAGCGCACGCGTAGCAAGAGAGGGCGCTAGCACATGCCATGTCGCAGGTTGACGAGGCACTGATGCTGACTGACGACAAACATCCAATCGTCGGTTCCGCGTTTGATTTCACTGCGCACTGCGTGTGACTACGTAGCGATTGCCAGAGATGAGCAACGGGTACCCAGACCCACACCCACCCGCACCCACCCCACCCACGAGGCATTGGGTCAGGTGTGGGTCTTGATAAGATGGCATGGGTAGGATGAGGGTGGGTCAAGGCGAGCAAGCCAGGGTGGGTGACGGGCGGGTCAATGTTAGGCCAGGGTCACCTGAATGGGTGGGTGACAAGCGGGTGAACGCTAGGCCTGGGTCACCCGACCCAGACACCCAGGACAACCCATAAGAACCCTCCGCCCGACCCCCCACCCCCCAACCCCCCCTTATACATATTTCCTAGTTGCGGTCCATCTGTGGACTTCAAACGTCGGTCCATCTGTGGACTTCAAAGGTTGGAGGCCCAGGAAACGGAAAGTCTCCACCTTGGGGCCCCTGGGAAAAAAAATTATCGTCCTTGAAAAAAAGAGTCGCGCTAGAGGCAACTAAAAATTTGGGGTCCTCCTTGAAAAAATGTGTCACGCTCTACTGGTAGCAGTTGGACCACAGCCTAGACAACCGGATGTTCGCTCCCATTAAAACAGCGGGGATCGGACCTAACCACCGCAAGTGGCAAGCCTTAGGTTCACTACCCAATTTCAAACTTGTGGAGCGATTCGAATTTCTGCAGGCACAAATGCTTCAAAGTTTTGTGTCGTCGTCCAAGGATGTCATGTTGCTATGGTGCGTGCAAATGTTCAAAGGGACTGAGACAATGGGGAGTGGGTGGGTGCGGGTGGAAAATATTTAGGTACCTGGCGCGGACGGGTAATTTTGTTCTTGCGGGTGTGGGTGGGTCAGGGTGAAGGTTTTTTACGGGTGACGGGCGGCAGGGTTGTCGACCCCCGGACCCGGGGCCCCGGCGGGGGTCCCGGGGGTCGGGGGTCGGCACCCCCGGCCCCGGCTTTCCAAAAAAAA